TATTATTATTTTACGTTGTATTTCATATAATGTAATAGACTCTTCTACAAATGTCTAATAAGTAGTTAAAATATTTTTGAATTTATTATTAGGTCGGGTAAAAAAGAAGAAAATGAATGTAGGTATGAAAGATCTCAAGCTTTTTCTCATAGTCATCACCTTTTAATGATCATGATCATCCATTTAAAGTGTACTACATAAGTATAAGAGACACCTTAGATACCCAACCTACCTAAATAACTTTCAAGGAAAACCCAACCCAGACAGAACAGCCTTTAAATGAGAAATGACCTACACCTACACCCTAACACAATACCCTCGGCAATTAACTGCCTCACCAGTGCCATCTGTCTACAGAACAATAAAACTGTCGGGCACAGTTCCACGCATCCTGGAACTTTCGAACTCGGTGCGACAGTTCTGCTAACTTCGCTGTCGATTCTTTGTAAGAAAAAGGGACGTGCTGTGGAAGGCGGACTTTGAAACTTTTAATTTACAATGTAGTTTTAAAGTCACTGATGTATTATTTAATAAATCGAAATACTTAGTCAAAATCATCATAATATTGGTATTCAGTAAGGTTCTGGAGTGGAGGCCACGTACTATAGGAAAACGCAGCGTGGGACGTCCACCCAGAAGGACCGACTACCTCATAAAGGTAGCAAGAAGGCTGTGGATACAAGCCGCTACCAACGGGTCGATGTGGAAATCATTGGAGGCCTATGTTCTGCCCCTTCTGACCCACCGCACTACCAAACCACACTACCAGTAGTGTCGTGGGTAATTTTTAAGGGCCATACATCTTCATTCCCATCGACACTACTACCATAACTAAATGTAAAATTTGTAAAATTTTGGATTGTTTTGTAATAAATTATGTTTATATGCAACACTAACCTCTGTGCAATTTTGCAGTTTGACGGAATTTACTGAAAATAAAATATTACCTAAAAGGGCTTATGTACCTACATGTTACGGTAAATGTACAAGTAAAGCGCTTTCAAATGATACCAAACACGGCATATTTATCTTAACTTTATTTTTTTACTCTGTATGGTTTGTCCGCTAGAGGGCGCCACATTAGATTTAGTGAAACCCTATATAGCCTATAACCAGCGGACAATTAAGACCCTTCTACTGATATGTCATCATCACATAATTTATTACAAAACAATCCAAAATTTTACAAATTTTACATTTAGTTATGGTAGTAGTGTCGATGGGAATGAAGATGTATGTTACCCACGACACTACTGGCTTGGTAGTGCAGAAAGGAAAAAATATTTCTCTCGACACTACTGGTAGTGTGGTTTGGTAGTGCGGTGGGTCAGAAGGGATGTTCAGCAATAGACGTCCTGTAGCTGAAATGAAGATGATGATGATGTTTATTATTATTCAGTCTCTACTGCTGGAGTATAACCCTTAACCTCTTAATTTGTTAGTGGCGAAAGAAAGGATTTAGCCTACACTTCACTTACTTTCTAATTTAGTCACCTCTTTATGACATTCTCGGGAATAGTGGCGGTGGTCTTATTTCTACTCTCCTGGAACCACTCGACGAAATTATTACGTAACTATTTTATAGTAGTTTGTCTGTAATGACGTTAGTTCTGAGATATACTTATCTAACACCGCGTCAAAAACTATAGCAATAAAACTAATGTCAATACTGACCTTGGGAAGTGCGATATACACAATTTATTTGGACAATAACATTACTTGCCGGCGGGCACGCGGCAAAACGCGTTACGATTCCCGCAATCCAAAGGCTATTAGGGGTGCTGCAAGAATATTGTAGCAATAAAATTATTTAACCCGAGGTGGACCGACGACCTGATAAAGGTAGCAGGGATAGGCGCTGGATGCAGGCCGCTACCAACCGTGCGATGTGGAAGTCATTGGGGGAGGCCTATGTTCAGCAGTGGACGTCCTGTGGCTGTAATAATGATGATGAAACTTGATTTTAGCGTTGGAAATGATAGGTCGATCGCTGTGCAGTAAGCCAGTTAAAAACCTTTCAACCTTTGGCAGTAATCAGTTATTTTTCGACCATGAGAGTTTTGAGAGATGTCACAAGTTGTGAACAATGTTAAGTCTTACAATATCCCCAACTGAAAAATAACGCAAAGTGATTTTCTCTAAGTCAGTCCTACATGGGTATCAAACCCAGGACTTCTAAGACGAGAGCATCAAAATACAGAAATTACGTATTAAAAGAATTAGGTAAGTATCTTTCTAATTTATCATTTGTGCCGGCTTTTCCTCTTTTATCGCGCAGCTTCTAGGTAACCATAACCATAACTTTTTGATGTCGTCAGTTCATCAAGCATTTTTGCATCTTACGCTACGTTTGCCAAAACTTGGTGGCGTATATTAAATGTAGAGTCTACTAAACCTCTAAATGGATGATGCGGCGACGGCTGTCCATTACTCGCGCATTCTTCAGCCCACTTGCGGCAGCCCTGAGGGTGATTTAATACGAAGAATGAGTCCAATTACCAACTTCGCCCGTATATTTGTTTGGTGATTTGTGGCCATTGCCCAATGTTGGCTGTTTTGGTCAAAGTGCTAACGCCATTGGTGGCTTGTGGGTTTTGGGCGAATTGTTTTAGACTACTAGTAGCATGCGGCTTTTCTCACGCAGATTACGGTCTTACTGCTTGAATATTGATAATAATACTTAATATTTAATGCCTGCCATGATGATAATAATAATAGCAAATGGTGACTCCAACTTACTAAGGGCCGCCATATTTAAATAGGTCACCAAAAGATAGTGGGGGCAGCAACAACGGTGTAAGTGACGAAGGTTGCAGGCTCCTCAAACTATCTTCAATAACAAACCAAGTAAGTAATAGCAGTAATTAGTACTTCATCATCATCATCATTTCACCCACAGGACGTCCTCTGCTGAACATAGGCCACCCCCATTGCTTTCCACATCGCCCGGTTGGTAGTGGTCTGCATCCAGCGCCTTCTACCTTTATGAGGTCGTCGGTCTACCTTGTGGGTGGACGCCTCACGCTGTAGGTACTGGAAAATAGTAGGTAACTTGGTCAATGCAAAAAATACTAAAAGTCTGCTCGTCTCTCGTGGATCAGAGATTAAATCGCCACAGCTTTATTAATAATCATTGTCATTATAGTTAGGAATAATTTTGATTAAAATAACTTATTATTTCGTCTACAATTAAACAAATGAAGATAATTATTATCATAGAGTCAATACAAACGGATACCAAGTTTAGGTAAGTAACCAATATGTTTTGATATTTCCTGGGTCACTGTGTCATAATTAGATATCTAAACAATACAGTTTAATAATAGGAACTTAAAATAAATTAAGGAATATTTTTTTTACTAAAATATTTGGCTGAGTAAATACTTTAAGCTAAAAGTTTATGCCAGTTATGTAAGCACTCATATAGAGAAAAAAAAGTAAAGATGTGTGTTAAAAATTACTCTACCTTGAGTTGCATACTTGAGAGGTGATTTACGACTCCACTAATCGTTTGAGCCGATGTCATAATAAAGATAAGCGTAATAAATTAAAGAATGCATTATTTTAACATTTTCATTACTCTAATTAAGTACCTAGGTTAATTAGCAAAATAGGTACTTAAAACCTAAGAAATAAGTGGAAAGTACCAGTACATCGGTTTTCTACAGGCTACATTTCAGATAATGTGCGAAAGAATTACACAAACTAATTCCACCAGCCCCCTTCCATCATCGGGGAACCAGACGCAGGTTAGCGTACCATCCATAAGTTGACATTCTTCCAGCTCGCACTAAGCGTTTCGATGACTCTTTTATAATGCGAACAGTTAGGGACTGGAATTCGCTGCCTGCTGCTGTCTTTCCCGAAGACTATAATCCGGGCATTTTCAAGGCGCGAGTGAATAGGCACTTACAGGGCAGATACCTATGTACCATCCTAGACTGCATCCCACTTAACACCAGGTGCGATTGTGGTCAAATAACTGCCTTGTTATGCATAAAAAAAACATTTTGGCCAAAAATTACTAATTCGCGAGCACAAGTCGAAAATGCTTAAAAAACTTAGCCGAAACGAAACAAAGTTGCTTGATTAAATTAAGTTGGTAAATCAGTTAGCCCGCTCGCTTCGCCGCCAGAATTTTTATGCAGTTTTAAATTATGAGTGTTTTGGAAAGCGAATAGAATTTAAAAACAAGCACCAGAGATAAATAAAACACGTTTTAGTAGTCCAGAGTGTACCCGACTCCACGCCTTGGTCAAAATAACTTAGTTGAGTTTTGAAAAACTCTTTCAACCCAAAGGTTGCGAGTTCAGTTCTTAGTAGGGGCAAACCTGGAAGACAAAAGCGCTTTGTGTATTTGTTCACAGTTTTAAGACATCAGTGTAAGCTTTTTTCAAACTTACTATCCAAAAAATGAATAAGAATCCGTACTTCGAATGGCACGTTTAGCCGTGTCCAGAAGCAAAGGCGGTTCAAAACCTAGACCTATACAATAAACGCGGCTTCGCCGGAATTTTGAATTTTGTCTGTCACAGAAAAACTATATCGCGCGCGTCCCTGTTTCAAAAACCGGAATAAAAACTATCCTTTGTCCTTTCCCGGGACTCAAACTATCTCCATGCCAAATTTCATCAAAATCGGTTAAGTGGTTTAGGCGTGAAAGCAAGACAGACAGACAGACGGACAGACAGAGTTACTTTCGCATTTATAATATTAGTATAGATTTTAGTTTTCTACCTATTTAGGTATCACACGTTCAACTAAATAGTTGCCTCCAGCAGGATTCGAACCAGCTTTGTCCGAACCAAAAGAAACAAAGATGAGTGATTATCTGACACGAGAAGAAAATAATGCCATTTACATAAACTATACGCATCATTAAACAAATTAGGTACATTCACTGGCTATAAATAGGTATATTTAATTGTCACAGTAATAAATAACCACGTTCAAATGTTATCGCGGGTCAGTCAGTTGTGCTCTCGCTCGCTTGAGAGTCGGTGTTTAATTGTGGTTCTAATTAAGTATTACTTAAGTGTTAATATGGATTTGGAAAGACAACCGTTATTGCAGAGGAATACCGACGTTAGGTGTAGGAGATCCAGGTAGGTACGTTGAGAGTTAGTTCAAAAGGAATTACTTAAAAAGTAATGGAAGAAAGTAGATCAGGGTATGGGTGATAAGTGGGTCGATATGCAACTTGGAAATTCTTCTGGTTTGTTCTTTTCTCAATATACCGGGGTGTAGTGGTTAAATAGTTTAATTCTCTCAGTCTAGTGGTACTGGATTCGATTCCAATGCGGGACACATAAACTGTTTATAATGTTAATACTTTTCGGGTGACTGGCACCCGTAAAAACGACCCGAGGCAATCTTTCTTGTCGTTAAAATCTGTCCTGTAGTTTTTGCGCGAAAGTCACAAACATCCAGCTCCAAATTTTCGCGTATACTTATAACATGTGTATGAATAAAAAAATGTTAATCACACCTACGTCGTAACTAAGATTAGGTACATTAGGTATCCTTGGACCATGGCTCATTGATTCATGACCAGTATTAATTACACCGTAACGAAATTAAAGGTGAATGGCATGCCTATAATCTAGACATGCGATCGATATTAAATTGACGAGAAATATTACAAGGACTAGGACTTGCTGACTATCCTGCCTACCTTATCAAAATCTTGGTACCTTTTTTCTGTCGGGAAATGCTCATAGATAGGCTGATGGTGACGGCCAGTTGATTGTGTGAGACTCTCACAAGTGTGGGACATGGGTGGGAAAATCCTACGCCCATAACCCGACAATGTCCTATGTATCCAATGAAACGGAGCCGCGAGCTATTGTCCTATTGGCCATTTGTTCACGGCTACGTATCAGACCTTTATTACGGTCATAGCACACTTATCAATCCGGAAAGGGATCAACACCGTATCGCCTTCGCCGCTAAGTGAAGCGTTTAATTTACGGTGCGGATAAGTAAGTATGCGTTGCAGTACGGAGTTTCATGTTGAATACTGACCGCCTCGAGTTGATATAGTCACGATCCGTTTCCGGGTTGAGAAGTGTGCTTCGTCCTTTATTGTGTTTAGCAGATAATGATAATAACAAAAGAAAGAAAGGTAGCAGGAAGGCGCTGGACGCAGGCCGCTACCAACCGGGCAGCATGGAAAGCATTGAGGGAGGCCTATGTTCAGCAGTGGACGTCGTATGGCTGAGATGATGATGATGATGATAACAAAACGTTTCATTCATTAGATTAACAAACTAAAATCCATCTTTTATTCCAGGCCGCTAACATACGAAGAGATACTGGATTCGCACAACGACGTATCCTGGCGCCGCGCGCGTTTCTGCATAATCCTTATGTTCTGGGCCATATTGGCTATGTTCCTATCCATTATCGCGTGCATACTAGTCACAGCTAAGTGCCGGCCGTATGACATAGACACAGGTTTGATGCCGTCTGTGCCACCTGTGCACATCTCTTTCGCTCCTTTGGTGGCGAGCGGGAGAGCGCTATACAACGATGCTACGTATGCTGCGTGAAGGAGTTATATAGTCTGGTCCGTGAGCACGTAGAATTTTGTCCAATGACCCCTAGCTACCCATCCTTATCGCTCGCGCGTAATTATATTGCTGTCGCGACTATGCGACTGGCACCCGCAGTGAGTGTGCGAGCGCGATAGCAACATAATTACGCGCGAACGATAAGGATGGGTAGCTAGGGGTCATTGGACGAAATTCTACGTGCTCACGGACCGGGCTTTAGATAGGCTTAACTCAGTCAGTGCCTGAAGTATGAGAGCGGGAAGGGACTATTCCCACCACTGCAACTCCTGTGTAGCCAGGATCTACAGCTTGATGACCGCCATAAAAACCCAACCGATGAAGGTCAAGTTTGTCCCGGGGGAAAGTGAGAGAGCAGGAAGGGAGGGGTGACATTGACATATTGAGATTCAGTTTCGGAGTTTACTCCGCTGTTTGCTTCGGCTGATTTTGTTGTGTTTATTCAAGAGAGCAGCCGGATTGTGACGTGACAGATCGTACAAATCTATAGTTCCAAAAGGCATGTATTTAAATGATCTTTTTAAATTAGCAAAAACGGCAAATAAAAAAATCTAAATGGTCATCTATTTTAATGATTGATCCTCTTTCTTTGAGACATAAAATAAATGAAATCGATCGATATTTTAACCTCTTTTGAACTACGCAAAAAAAATTTGAGATGTAAAAATTATATCTGATCGTTACTTGTTGGTCCTCAAAAATAAAAGAAATGAGCATCAAATATTCAATATTGTGATACTTTTTTAAATAATTCGATTTGTATAAATTATTTTTTGTCTATATCAAATAATCTTCAAAATAATTATGTAATGGTACTTATTTTTATTAAGTTGTAGTCAAAGGATGGAAACTATTTAAAGGCACTTGATGTTTAAAGATTTTTTTTTATTAAAAAAGCATACTTAACACGTTCACACTGTGTTATCGGGTCGAATTGACCTTAGGTGCTGGATGCGTTGGTGCGGGATGATATATTCGGTCTTTTCAGTAGTACGACATATAAATATTGTTCGTCAAACACAGTAAATATTTGGAAAAAAAACTTATCAGGTCCTTACGACCCGATGTCGCACTAAAAGTAAACCAATATCGTTTAGTGCTTTTATCGTGTTTAAACGACCCGTTGACAGATGACTTTATGGTCACTGATCACGGTCGAGATCGGTACCTTCAGCAACCTTGCGATTTGAAAAAAATAAAGTGGTAAAAATTATGATGTCGGGTTCAGGGATGTCAGAAGTAAGAAATTATTTTACATAGCGCCTCTAGTCCCAAACTAAGCAAAGCTTGTAATTTAAACAAACATGGCAATGTACCATTCTGCTTGCTTATTGGCCGCTAAGCCCTTGGCCAACTCAGTAACCAATGACGGACGATTGTCACTCAACCACAAAGTACCGCGTAAATTAAAAGATATTTTTTAATTAAAAATATTAACCAATAATATTTTTTGTTAGATCAAATATATTTTAAAGTTAAGTTATACATAGATCGAAATGTATTTATTAGGTGATCAATATTAAAAGGCAAACTTGATATAAAAATCATCAAATTAACTAAATTAAAGATCAATAACTAAAAAAGAGGATCAAATATTATTTTTGTTTACCAAATATTAAAAGAGTATATTAAACATGAATATTATGTTACCTTTACTGAAGATCATTCATAACTTATCCGTAGATCAACTAATATAGACCCAATAATTAATATAAAGATAAAATATAATAAAAAACATCATTTATTTTTAAAAGTGCACATACAAAAAAGATCAATTAGTTTTTAGAGGATCAATTAATATTGTCCCGTTCCAAAATACTGAACTGTCCTATGCATGACATTGACAGTGGGGCGCCACCGTCAATACCGGATCGCTGTTGTGTTGGAAACCATATACCTAGTTGAACGTAGCGCCCCCGTCATTGAGTTTGGTGGGACAGTTCAGCGTGGGTCATCTATAGTCTTACTGACGTTTGAGTTCTCAAAAACACCCTCCCATACCTCAGGCACGTGACTTTTATAAATATGTATGTGAAAATCTTACCATAAAGGATAGTGCCAGGGTCTGGACCAAGTGCTGCCCAGAATCAACCCATAGTCCTTTTTGTTCCTCGGATCAATACTAATGTGTAAACCGAAGCGCACTGCAATCTATCCCTGGAGTTAAGAAAAAAAAAGAGTTTTGTTTTGAAATATTTACATACAAAATATCATCGATGTATACGTACTACGCATAAGATTTCGCGATTTTGGCATTAAATAACACTCGCTATGTTGAAGTTAACCATACTGCATCCGTACACCTTACTTTAGTACGACTTAGACATTCTTTATAAGCGATCTAGCGCTGTTGCAATAGTTTGGTTACTTGACAGAAATCATTATTTCCAAAATGAATCAAGAAGTTTTAGTTCTCTATCCTTGCGAAAAATCAATTTATTGGTGTATTACAATGGATTATTGAAGTTATTGTAAGCTAAAACTTCTTGCTCTATTTTGGAAATAATTAATTTCGGTCAACTAACCAAACTACTGCAACAGCGCTTGATCGCTTATAAATAATGTCGAAGTCGTACTAAAGTAAGGTGTACGAATGCAGTACGGTTAAGTTCAACATAACGAGTGTTATTTAATGCTAAAATCGCGAAATATTATGCGTAGTAGGTATACATCGATGATATTTTGTATGTAAATAATTCCAAACAAAACTCTTTTTTTCTCTTAACTCCAGGGATAGATTTCAGTGCGCTCCGGTTTACAAATTAGTATTGGCCTGAGGAACAAAATGCACTATAGTTTCTTTCTGGGCAGCACTTGGTCCAACTTCCATACATGGATTGGCACTGTCCTTTTGATGTTTCATACATAAAAATCAGTGTTATAAGATGTGTGTATTCCTACTATGTATAAGTTCTTTTTTAAAATGTATACCTACTTTGTATTTTAAGGAAAATGTTAAATCAGACGTGTATGTTATCAATTGAATAGATTGTACGAATAGCCTGAAGCTAGTTCAAGTTTATGTGTAGGTTATCTAATATTATGTAACATTTATGTACCTACTATAGTTTTAAGTCCCAACCTTTAGGCATATGTAGCAAAAAGACTGATAAATTAAAATAAATCGATTCATTTAATCAATTGTTTAATTCGATCAATATTTTCGTATATTCCTACAAAAATATACATAACATTCATTCGCGTGTACAAAATTAACAAGTACTCATTAGTATTTATATAAAACATAGAAACGTTGTACTATTATAGTATTACATCTTTCATAGCACATTATTAATGGTATAACCAAGAAAGAATAAAAATTATACGTTATGGAAGACATCTTATAAACGTAAATATTTCTAATATTGCAAATCATTAGTGCATTTTTACTTGTGCAAAAACGCATACAATGAGGGTTTTCGCGATTGAAAAATCCGCCAGGTGGCAATACGTAGACAGGAGGTCCAAATGCTGCGTGATTGGTGGATTTTGACATATTATATCTGTCAATGTCATGTCAAAAATAACCAATCATGCAGCATTTGGACCTCCCGTCTACGTATTGCCATCTGGAGGATTTTTCAATCGCGAAAACCCTCATTACGTATAGCTTCCATTTTTCAGCACAAAACTATCCTAGTACCTATTAAATCTCAATGTTTCCATTTAATGGATTTTTTTATATGTGTACTGAATTAAAAAGGCATTTGAATCAAAAAAATCAAAGCTGACAAGTTGAATTTATTCTTTCTTGATTAACTACCATTTGCTTATATTACACAACACTTTTTAATACTGTACTGTGTGACAGTGACGGTAGTAACAATCTCTTAGGTCAATTAATTAAAAACATAGAAAACAATAGTTATAAGGCCGTCATTTTATAACATTTTATTAAAACACATCAATACATTATTAAATGCATATTTCATTTATTTGCATTAAATAAAAAATGAACGTTGGGATAACTATTTGGCATCCAACATTTTGAATCACTCATTACTTAAAATTAACGCTAAAAATAAAAATAAAAACAACGGCAAGGCATGGCCAGAAATGCGTTCTTTTCAAAGAAAAAAAAATACAGAGAGCTTTTGTGTTTTATAACAAGGAAATTGGTATCGTACAATTTCTATAGTAAATTATGCACATATTTTTACGTATTTCTGGTTCAGCCTTTATTGTATTTAATTAAAATTGACTCGAGAAAGAATACTAAAAGTATTGTTGCTATTATTAGTAAATTAGCCTACATAAAGAGTCTGGTATAGAATACAACGCGTACAAATGTGTTTCATCTGGCGACCGATTCTGATTGTTTTGCTTGGCGAGTGTTGCCAATTCTTTTAGCGCTTCTTCTAGAATATTCTGGCGTTTGGAGAAGCTGAAAAAAGAATAGCAAGTTAGTTTGTCATAGAGATTAAAACGGCGGTTTAAATTCCAGAACATAGAACACTCCGGAGCATTGGGGAACACTCCGTTTCAGTTTTTAGACTATGTAGCATTACTATGCTGCATAGTGTTGATGTAATGGTCATATAGTGACTATGCACTGCTAAAGACCTGTTTATGTGTTAGTTAGGTAGGTCCCCCTGCGTCTAGCGGAGCGGTCAATTGTGCCACTAGCATGCAGCTACATTCTATTTTGGTTTATGCTGTATAATAATACAACAACAATACAATATAATAATCATATAACAGCTACATACTTGCTAAAGACGGGTTTAAACGCGTCAAGTAAGTCCCCGCATCTAGCGGAGCGGTCAGGTGTGCCGCTAACATGCGGACGCATGCCGATTAAGCTTCTCGATTATTGGACCTTAATATGTTGTATTTATTTATTTATTTTTATAATATAAAGGCCACATAAAAAAGGTCATGTACAGTCGCGGAATGAAAAGGTTCGTCACCTTAGTGTCGGTTTTCGCTTGCACTAGGTACTTCTAAGAGTCAAACCTGCCAACATACCAGTGCAAGAAACAGTGCTGCTAACATTTAAATAAATGTGACGTTTGCTAACGAAGAAGGTTTTGCTTATTTTTCTGTCCCATCAGTGCAATGTTACAAAATGTATTTTTTTTTATTTAATAGAAATAATAATGGCAAGTTGAACCAACAAGAAGGTTTTAGTTTATCAATCATGAAAATTTTCTTGACAAGATAAATGTCAAACAACTTTAATCTGAATAATTTTGAACTTTACTGACTAACAGTTAAAGATTATTTTGTCTATCGCGAGATTATTCTGTAACATAGTTTCAAAAGGTAATATGTGCTCGCGATTCGTTGAAGGAATCAATTTGAAAACTGACGAACCTTTTCATTCCGCGACTGTACCTGCTAAAGACCGGTTTAAAAGCATCAGGTAGGTCCCCCGCGTCTAGCGGAGCGGTCAGGTGCGCCGCTAACATGCGGACACACTCCATTTCAGCTCAATATGCTAAAAGTTGGTATTACAAAGGTCATAAATTGGCCACATACCTGCTAAAGACGGGTTTAAACGCATCGGGCAGGTCCGCCGCGTCTAGCGGAGTGGTCAAGTGTGCCGCTAACATTCGGACTCACGCCGCTTCAACTTCTCGATTATAGAACCTGAATATGCTGTATAAAGGTCATTTATTGGTCACGTGCCTGCTAAAGACCGGTTGAAACGCCTCAGGTAAGTCCCCCGCGTCTAGCGGAGCGGTCAGGTGTGCTGCTAGCATGCGGACGCACGCCGCTTTACTTTTTAGATTAAAGGAGCTGAATTTGCTGTATAAAGGCTATAATAATGGTCACATACCTACTAAAGACCGGTTTAAACGCGTCAGCTAAGTCCCCTGCATCTAGCGGAGCGGTCAGGTGTGCCAATAGCATGCGGCTACATTCTCTTTTGACTCGTGCTGTATAATGGTATTACAAAGGTCATATAACAGCTACATACCTGCTAAAAACGGGTTTAAACGCGTCAGGTAAGTCCCCCACGTCTAGCGGAGCGGTCAAGTGTGCCGCTAGCATGCGGACTCACGCCGCTTCAACTTCTCAATTATATAACCTGAATATGCTGTATAAATGTCATTTATTGGTCACGTACCTGCTAAAAATGGGTTTGAAAGCGTCGGACAAGTCCCCCGCGTCTAGCGGAGCGGTTAGATATGCCGCTAGCATGCAGACACACACTATTGCTGGTGTTATATTGTTACATACCTGCTAAAGACGGGTTTAAACGCGTTAGGTAACTTCCCCGCGTCAAGCGGAGCGGTCAGGTGTGCCGCTAGCATGCGATATTATAGGAACTGAATATGCTGTATAAATGTCATTTATTGGTCACGTACCTGCTAAAGACGGGTTTAAACGCATCGGGCAGGTCCCCCGCGTCTAGCGGAGCGGTCAGGTGTGCCGCTAGCAAGCGGACACATTCTCTTTTGGCTCATGCTGTATAATGGTATTACAGCGTTCTGGTTCAATAATCTGAACAATGGTGTTGCAAAGGTCATATAACAGCTACATATCTACTAAAGACAGGTTTAAACTCGTCAGATAAGTCCCCTGCATCTAGCGGAGCGGTCAAGTATGCCGCTAACATGCGGACGCACGCCGCTTCGCACGTTAGATCAATAAGCTGTATAATGGTATTACAACGGTCACATAACAGCTACATACCTGCTAAAGACCGGTTTAAACGCGTCAGCTAAGTCCCCTGCATCTAGCGGAGCGGTCAGGTGTGCCGCTAACATGCGGACGGACGCCGCTTCGCACGTTAGATCAATAAGCTGTATAATGGTATTACAACGGTCACATAACAGCTACATACCTGCTAAAGACCGGTTTAAACGCGTCAGCTAAGTCCCCTGCATCTAGCGGAGCGGTCAGGTGTGCCGCTAACATGCGGACACACGCCGCTTCGCACGCTAGAGCGAGAACGCTGACTCGCACGCGAGATAGTAACGGCTGGAGGCCCAGCGTTACTATACGTATTGCGGTTCAATATGCTGTATAATTGTGTTATATTGGTCATATAATGACTACATACCTGCTGAAGACAGGTTTGAACGCGTCAGGCAGGTCCCCCGCGTCTAGCGGAGCGGTCAGGTGTACCGCTAGCATGCGGACACACGCCGCTTCGCACGCTAGATCAATATGCTGTATAATGGTGTTACAAAGGTCATATAATGGTCACTCACCTGCTAAAGACGGGTTTAAACGCGTCAGGTAAGTCGCCCGCGTCTAGCGGAGCGGTCAAGTGTGCCGCTAGCATGCGGACTCACGCCGCTTCAACTTCTCAATTATAGAACCTGAATATGCTGTATAAATGTCATTTATTGGTCACGTACCTGCTAAAGACCGGTTTAAACGCGTCAGCTAAGTCCCCTGCATCTAGCGGAGCGGTCAAGTGTGCCGCTAACATGCGGACGCACGCCGCTTCGCACGCTAGAGCGAGAACGCTGACTCGTACGCGAGACAGTAACGGCTGGAGACCCAGCGTTACTAGGATTGAGGTTATTTGGGTTGAGATCTGAAATATGGCAGTTTTATTAGAGCATAGAAAGCGAGCAGGAAATTATGAAAACTTCTACCTTCGAAAAGAATGGAGAATGGTAAAATATTTGCATAAAATATGTACCTATTATGTGAAAATAAATAAATAAAATGATTATCTTATCTTATCGGTGACCTCCCATAGTTTTTGTGTATTGTCACAACATCTTGGCATGTGTCTATGACCGAAAGTAAAATTATGGGCCGAATAAAAAAGAAAAATAATATGGATATTGATACCATTTTCTCAGCTATTGTATGCGAAAACATATAAAGTAAACAAATAAATTGGTAAAAAGCTTTACAAACTTTTTTAAACTTTGTATCAGATGTTAAATAAAATTGTTTATTTCCCTAATGAAGTAAAATAAATCAATAAATATTTTTTTTGAACTCAATAACAAAAAGATAAGAACGAACGACTGTATATCAAGAAACAGCGGCACCAAACGAGTAAAAAACTTTATAGCTTGTGTATATTATAAGTTAATTCTATTGTCAGTGATTGTAAAAGTAAGTAAAAGATAAATACGAGTTCTATTTTTTTTTGTTACTCACCTGATTCTCGCAGTGTCTCTTCGAATTCTTAGTCATACGTTCACTGGCGGTGATGAAGGTGACGGATGTATTCGGAGTGTTAGTTTTCTCTGATTCACTCCAGCTTATGGTCCGATTATTTCCTGATAAAAACATTACAAAAATATCTTAGATAACATATTAAAAAAAAATTCTTAACTCTGACAGTGAGGATGTGGCGTCATACGATAAAGTCTGCTATAGATGAACTACATTGACACGGTAATACTATCTTACAGTATTCCAACTCGGCCATATTTTTGAAATAAATGTCAACAGTCGCGCGGTACGTCACAGTATGACAACATGCGATAGGGCTGCTCACCTACAGTACCCAGTTTAATTACATCTGCCTACTTAGAATTTCTATTTAGTTTTGCGATTGTATTTTTTTTATTTAGTTAGACAAACAAAATACTTTGGGAATGGAATAGATTGAAAATGTGTGATTAGTAGATTTAATTTAGTAAAAACTACTTAAATAATTTCGAAACTTTAATAATCATAATGATCTGTTACTTTAATTTCGGGCGGGCGAAGTCGTGGACAAAAGCTGGTTTGATACAATATAATTTTCATTTCAAATCAAACTGACTGAAAATGTCAATTTGACTAGTTTTTGACCAATTTGACCGTAAATGAAGGTCAGTCAAATTCAATCAGTTTTGTCATTTTTAACACTTGGCCACCGACGTCCATTCGGCACATTCGCGACACCCCCGACTTTTGCATACCGAGCGCATACCGAGATTTGAATTTCGAAAGAAAGTTCTCGTTTCGTCTGTTTATATGAAGTTACAATACTGTATGATATTATTACCGTGACATTGAACTGTCCCACCAAACACATTGACAAGCAGTTTTATAGTTTCCAACGTGGCAAAAAACGGAATCAATGACCCGGTATTGATGGTGGCGCCCCCTGTCAATGTCAATAATTTTATATGACGTCTGTCAGTTTTGTCATTAGCATGCTTATTATTATTTTTTGAGAGAAAGGTAAATTATCTTACCTTCGGGAGTCCGAGCAATGTCAGGGTTGAGTTTTTGTTTGATGAAATCTATTACGTCGATGTATGGCAGTTTATGTTCTCTAACCCTGAAACCAAGACAAATTGGTGAACATGGAGTTTTAGTTGAACCATTTTAAGCAGCACCCTATAGTTACTCAACAGTTACTGTTGTTGTAGCTACCTGTAAGTCACTGCTAATTCAGCGTCATTTATAGCACCTTTGCGTCTATAAATATGGGCAGGCCTCCAAATAGGTGGACCGATGATCTGGCGAAAGTCGCGGGAAGTACCTCAATATGGGCAACACAGGACCGATCGTTGTGAAAATCCTTGGGGAGGCCTTTGTCCAGCAGTGGACTACATTTGGCTGAATCAAAACCTACTGAACTGTCACTGCCCCAACAGCCGATCCTCACGAACGCGTCATCTTGCAACAACACGATGCCTGAGCGACTCAGCTCATGAGCTTCTGAGCTGCTCAAAGGCCACGAACAGCAGTTGTAGCCAGCCGCCCATAGGTCCCTGGCCAGTTGGGCGCTCTAAGCGGCCGTTGCCTGTATGCATCTATAGGTCACTGTCAATACAGCGGCAGTTATGACATCCTTGACTAACCTGTCACTGCCCCAACAGCCGATCCTCACGAATGCGTCATCTTGCAACAACACGATGCCTGAACGACTCAACTCATGAGCTTCTGAGCTGCTCAAAGGCCACGAACAGCAGTTGTATCCAGCCGCCCATAGGTCCTTACGAATGCCTGGCCTGCCTGCCTATGTTCAGCAGTGGACGTCCTATGGCTGAAATGATGATGATGATGATGAACTAACTAACCTGTCACTGCCCCAACAGCCGATCCTCACGAATGCGTCATCTTGCAACAACACGATGCCTGAACGACTCAGCTCATGTGCTTCTAAGCTGCTCAAAGGCCAAGAACAGCAGTTGTAGCCAGCCGCCCATAGGTCCTTACGAATGCCTGGCCTGCCTGCCTATGTTCAGCAGTGGACGTCCTATGGCTGAAATGATGATGATGATGATGAACTACTAACCTGTCACTGCCCCAACAGCCGATCCTCACGAACGCGTCATCTTGCAACAACACGATGCCTGAGCGGCTCAGCTCATGAGCTTCTGAGCTGCTCAAAGGCCAAGAACAGCAGTTGTAGCCAGCCGCCCATAGGTCCCTGGCCAGTTGGGCGCGTTTAGCAGCTGCTATGCCGTCGCGGCCGCTGCCAGCGGTGCCCCACATGCAAACGCAGATGAGAGTAGACTGTGGAAGGGTTTGCTGTTGTGAAATTTGCAGTAGACAAAAAAATATATTATGAGGGTCCTTTTCACGGCAATCGCAAAAGTGGACCTTTGTGTTCCCTTGACAGTATATTTTTTGCAGGTACGGTTTTTTACGATACGGGTGTTTGCAAAAAGTGTATGCAGGAAGCTTCTAGGGGGACTCTTCTACAAATACTCAAAATTAAACTGTATCCTATTTTTTACTGGTTCAGTTGAATATCAAAACCAAATCCCAAATTCAAACGGATTAGTTTTTAGTGGGACATTGCAAACATGATGTTCGTGTGAATGTTTAGTGTTAAAAAACGTCCCACTAAACGGGATAAACAATGGGATGCCCTCGTGGAAAATAGCCTAAATGCAAAAACTCCATAACTTTAATTTATAAGGTATAAAATATATGGTTTGTATGTAAACCTCAGAATTCTTCACAACAAGCGGCTCTTCCGGGCCAATCTTCTTCAATATGGCGGCCATTCTCTCCAACGACATTGAGAACCCGACTGACGTGCACGAAAGCTGAGCGGTCTCGTGATCTTTATGTGTTCCCGACACCTTCCAGAAGTCTTCTACTAATGCATCATACCTGTGGAAAAATATTGATCTTTATTCTTATCTAACTAAAGTTCAAAATATGATAATATTCTGTTACCACCAGGCCTGTTTGTTTAGTGGTTTTTCTTTTACTCACTTTGGTGGACAGAAAAATTGAAAAGCAGCGGGAAACTTTTTATTTCTTTCTTATGGCGTCTTTATATTCGTGTCAAAACCAGCCAGACACAAACCGCATGAGCAAAGAGATATTATTTTTATTTTAATTTCATGCAAAATACCCTAGAATTTTCCCCATTTTAGCCTATTTTCATAGACAATAACTAATCGACTGGGCCCAAAGTACGACTTCTTCAGAAAAACACTTCAATTAGCCACGAGCACCCGCTTAGTTTTTACTAACTTTCCTTATACGCGTTTCGACAGCTCATAAAAACAAGCAAATATTATTCATTGTCCACTTTTTTTCATGCAATAAATTAAAGGAGATTTAATTTAAAAGAGATATAAATAATAATAATAATAATAATAATAATAATAGCTTGGGCCCTGCTCCGCTACCAGCGGATTAACTATTTTTAAGAATTTTTTTTATAATGTATTTTTAGTTTTTTTTTATAATTTACATTGTAAAAAAAAATATTAAAAATAAGAAGGAAATTGAATAAAGAGATAATAATAATAAAATTTATTTGCTTAAAATGTGGTTGACATAGGTGTTACAATTATTACAAAATATAATTTATAGTACTCACATTTTACCAATATTATGGCATGCAAAAACTATGTACGAGTAATAACAGCACTTTTCAAAACAACAATCCATTTAAACATGTCATAGACAAATTAATTCAATCAATATCAAATGTCAGTTAAATTAAGTAATATTAGAATTTTGTACAATAATAAATGTCAATAGTGTAACAATCACAAATCTAGAATTGCATAATCAATTAATGTTTCTTAAAAATGTCATTTATTTTGTAAAAATTTTTCTCAAGCAGCCACATCATAAGTTTACGTTTGAACAATTTATTCGGTAATATCTTTAAGTCATCAGGTATGGCATTGAAAATTTTTACACACATAGCATTACATTGTTTCATATAGAATGTCAGTTTAGGTGCACTATTAAAGACTAGTTTTTCTGCATGTCTTAGGTTTCGATTATTGACTTCAAGTCGTTTTCTAAACAGATTACCATTATTTTTTACGAAACATGCAACTTCCAATATGTACATGCACGGAAGAGGTAATATTTTGAATTGCTGAAATAATGGCTTACAAGACTGACGAGGTGATTTGCCACAAATAGCCCTTACACATTTTTTTTGTGCTCTAAACAATAAAACTAAGTCAGTTGAATTTCCCCAAATCAGAAGTCCATATTTAAGCAGAGATGCTACATACGCGTGATATGCCGCCAGGGATGTTTCTATTGCAGAAATTTGACTCAGTCTATTCAGCACAAATACGTAACGATTCAGTTTGTCCCGTAGATTTTCTATCTGAATTTTCCAGGTACAGTTTTCATCTAACTCTATTCCTAGGAATTTTGTATTATTGGTTTGTTCAATAATAGTCCCTTCATAATTAATGTCAAGTTTATATTTTCTTTGTCGATGTGTGCCAAATTGAATGAATTTTGTTTTATTTAAATTAACTGTCAAATTATTATTCTTTAACCAATTTATTATTTTGTTTATTGTATTGTTTATGTCCTCTTCATTTTTTCTTATATTTTTACTACTGGGAATAATTACGGATATGTCATCGGCAAATAATACACATTTGTGAGTAGTTACCTCTGGAAGGTCATTTATATAAAGTAGAAATAATATTGGCCCTAAAACACTTCCTTGAGGAACCCCACATGCATTCGTTAAAAATTTAGATTTATTCAAAGTCATACATTTTTTATTGTCTAAACTTGTTATTTCAACTGCTTGTTTCCTATTTCTCAAGTAAGATGCTAACCAGTCATGAGCTAATCCTCTTATTCCTAGATTTTCTAGTTTTACAAGCAGTATCTCATGAGAAACGAAATCGAAGGCACGAGTCATATCAAAAAATACAACAGTAGCAGGTATTCCAGAGTTTATATTTTCACTTATTTCATTTATAAGGTGGTACATTGCTAACGTTGTGGATTTATTATGTTGAAACCCAAACTGTTCTCTTTTGAATAATTCAAAACGCATGATGAAGCTTAATAATCTTTTTTTCATGGCCTTTTCGAAAACTTTGGATAATACAGGTACTAGGGTAATAGGGCGATAGTTCTCAACTGATGATTTTTTGCCTTTCTTGTAAAGGGGCTTGACTATTGAAAGTTTTAGCAACTCAGGAAAGACACCCTTACTAAACGACAAATTTACCAAATGTGTAAGAGGTATGATTAGCTCTTCGGCACAAGATTTTATTACTTTTGTACAGATACCATCATATCCTGTTGCATTCGTGTTATTTAATGATCTAATAATAGTTTTCATTTCATCTGGACAAAATGGTTCCAGAAAAATGCTATTTGGTAAACAAATTTTATTGGTATTTGTTTTCGGTTTATTATTGTCCGTTATATTTGTTAAATTTATAAGATAGTTATTAAATTCATTTGCGATATTTATTGGATCCGTAATTATTTTGCCATTTACGTTCAATTCATCTATAAACCTATTGTTATCTATGTTTTGTGTTTCGTTTTTTATTATTTTCCACGTAGTTAGACACTTATTTTTAGCCTTAGCAATTAATTTTGAATTTTGTATTTTTTGTGATAGCTTACAACACTGGCGTAGTAGCTTGGAGTATGATCTATATTGATGCTTTTTCCGAGTGGTTTTTGTTAAATAATATTCATATCTAAGCCTTCTTTTAGTTTTACAACTTTTAGCTAGCCCTTTTGTAATCCAAGGTGCGTTTTTATATTGATTTGATAGTTTTATTTTTTTGTTGGGAAAGCATAAGTCATATACTGTTGTAAAAAGACTATGAAATGAATGCATAGCTTTATCAACATCGGATTCATTTAATATTTCGGAGAAGGATAAAGAACGCAAGTATGTTTTAAATTTGTTTAAATTGTCATTACAATAGTCTTTCATATTTACAAAATATTGAATAGGATTTTCATAATTTTTATTTACTGGTATATGTAACATCTGTGCAGTGTTATGGTCGGACAGGTGGAGGTGATGTAGTTCAGCGCATGCTTCGTCAATATTACTAATTAGAAGAATTTCACTTCAGAAACTCAAAACTTCAAATTGTATCATTTAAATCTGTAATTTTACATTTATTACTGCTTTAGAACTGTTTTTCTGTTAGTTTTTTGATGTTAGATGTTAGAAATAAATAAATTCTCACCTTCCTCCAGCAGCTATGATGTCTCCAGAGCGATGCTTAGCCACGGGTTTGTGGTCGTTATCCCTCAATACTGACATCTGCCAGAAAATACCGCTGTGTTGTGTCGCGTTGTACGCTAGGAATGGCGCTACCGTCATTGGGCACTGAAGACAAGAGATAAATAATATTAGTATCGGTGATTTTGTTATAACATCAGTAATAAGTAGAGGCAAACGGACTTGTGATAATGTGAATGGAGGCGTGCGTCTTTGCTGATAGCTTTTAAGTCTCGAACAGCATTGTTTACCACTTAAGTCTCCTTGGCTGGCATCAGCGGCGTCATAATTAGTACATTGGAACTTAACAGCTATGTGCGATGCTTTTTATTAGTATAACTTGACTAATTTCGCATCTCTGCTGACCTGTGAGTCCCTCCCAGCATTGCTGACCACATTAGCCTACTTGGTTTGCTGCACCAGAGGCATCACCATTAGTGAATTGGACTTTATCATTAACGTAGGAAAGTACATATTATAATAACCTGACTAACCTCTTATCTCTGTTGACCGCTTCTAAGTTCCTCACAGCATTGCTGATCAGTTTAGCCCAGTTCGCTTGTTGAAAATTCGACCTTCGAATACGAAGACTTGGACGAAGAATTGATATAACTTGACTCACCTCGCATCCTAAAGGTTCGGACAAACCAACGCGTGCAGCGATGGCGATGGCGATGGCGACCACTGCGCGTGCAAAAGTTGTTTCACACTGCCGCGACCGCGATGGCGATCACTGCGCGTGCAGGTTGTCACTGTCACCACAACTGTCACGCATTTTGTCAATCACGCCTATTCGGCAAAATGGAAACTGAATTAAATGATTTGTTTGGAGCTTTTGATGCAATTGAGACAGTGGAAACATGCGGTATAGGTAGTAGGTATTGGTTACTCATAACCAAGCTATATTTCTGGCTTCATTTGTAGTCCCTAGAGCCCTAACAATACCTTTTAATTAGATTTAAAGAAAGGTTTCATAGATAGGAAGGAGGACTGCACTAAGGCTTTCTTGGCCTCAGTGGGGGAAATAAAACACAACGCGGACGGATGATATCTGGTTTATTACTGTTATGCTATTGCTATATACAAGATTTACATAATGTACGCAATTCAATGTGTCCAGTCCAATGTGCCGTCGGTGTAGAGTGCCTACGGTGCACGTTCGTTCAGGGTTCATGGGCCAGTCGGCTAGCATGTTGTAGGTCGCGGTCCATGGTCGCGGTCGATGCTGACGTGCTCGTATAGTATCCTTGTGTGCAAGTAAGATTATAAACCAATTCATCTTTTTCCTTGAGGGAAAAAATTTGCCCCCCCTTAACTTTTACCACTGTCGTTCTAAACTACACAGAATTCAACACAACATCTATCAAAATCAATTTTCATTTTCATTTTTGGTGCAACAGTCATCTTGACATTTACTTTTTTAAGGCAAAGGAAATAACATTATGCACCCAACCCACAGAGTACATAATAGTCCAAATAATTTTTTTGCCTTTAATAACAACCCAAAAATACAAAAAGACATCAGCCCCCCTAGACAAAACGCACTTTTTGATCGAATCGAAAATCGAATCCGTCAAAACTCCATACAAAAAAGGGGCTTTTCGACCACTTATCGACTGGTTTGCCATTATAATTTGCACTTTGTCTAGACCCACAGTTTTGATCAACTAGGTGTTCCTAGTGGCACTAAATTAATGACTGAGACGTTTGATGACTTTAATTAGGTTTTTATTTATGGCATACTTAGAATTGCTCTAGGGCCTTTGAGAAAGCTGCAGACATGTACATTCTCAATTATTTTGTTCTGCAGATAATATCCCAATTTTATTTATGAAGTTGAAGAAGCAGGTTCTCGAGAAAACTAGAATAATTTGTTTATTACATAAAAATAAATTCTGATATTGATACTTTTTTATAAAACCTTTTTTATTATTCAAGTAGGTCAGACTAGTGGTAGGTTATGAATAATTCATTTTTAATTGTGTAAAAACTTTTTAACAGATCCTACTTACTATTTATTACATCGATTTTAAAAAACAGAAACGTCACAGTGACAAATGTCGCGATGACCGCTGATCGCTGCGTGCAGACGCTGCATAGATCGCCGCGACCAATGACAGGACGCGTTGATGTGAACACATCGCTACAAATTCATACACGCTGTCTGGTCGCCATCGCCATCGTCATCGTGCACGCCGGCTGCACGCGTTGGTCTGGTCTAACCTTAACGCACGTGTTTGGCCCACTTGGCTTGCTTGACTAGAGGCGTCACCAGTTCTCTAGCCTCATGCACTTCATGAGAGACCTCATATTTTCAAATTAGACTTAATCACTAACACACAGATAGAAACTTATTGATATGACTACTGACCTCTATTTATTTGTTCACCAAAGTAAGTGAAAGGAAAACTATGACTGTTTTCACCATCAATCCCTAATTTTTAAGTGACCCCTATGGTGACACAAAACAGTAATTTTGTTTACATAGGGGTCACTCAAAAATTAGGGATTGATGGTGAAAACGGGCATTAATCAGTTACATAGAATGACGTTTATTGATGTGACTACTAACCTCGCATCCTAACGCTCGTGCATCCCTGCTGACCGCTTCCAAGTCCCTCACAGCGTTGCTGACCAGTTTGGCCCACTTGGCTTGCTTGACCAGAGGCGTCACCAGTTCTCTAGCTTCATGCACTCCCACTTCTGCTTCCATTAGACGGACGAGTGTCGACATGTCGCGGTTTGACACGCAAAGGGAGGTTAAATGGGTTTGGAGTTGCAGACTTGTAATGCGACCTATGAATAAATTATAATAACAGGTTAATAGGTCACATAGGGTACATAGCACGCAGAACTGACGGCCGATGGGGCAGCAAGGTTCTGGAGCGGAGGCCGGAAAACGCAGCGTAGGACGTCCACCTTGTGGGTACAAGGTGGACCGACGACATCATAAAGGTAGCAGGAAGGCGCTGGACGCAGGCCGCTACCAACCGGGTAACATAGAAAGCATTGGGGGAGGCCTATGTTCAGCAGTGGACGTCCTATGGCTGATATGATGATGATGAGGTCACATCTAAAAAAATACAGTCGTTCTTGTCTGTATTAAGATTACAAGACATATTTGACACTATTATTTGATTTGATTGATGATCATTTCTTTAAAATTGAAATATTAATTCTCTATCGAGCACATTCAAAATCATTCGATAATTTTTGAATGAGTTGTCATTGATGTGTGTATTGTTCTGGATTTACTTCTCAATGAACATTTAAAAAGGCATTCTAATCATTATAAGCAACAAATTACAAACGGATGCTCAAAAGCTAAATTCATCCACACAGACCAGAGAGCAGAAATNAAAATTATTAATAATCGCCGGTTATTATGAATAATTCCCGACAGTCGAGGTAAAAGTAATAAATGAATTTACATTTATCAGTGATTATTAATAATGTATTAATACTAACAAATATCATAAAAGAGAACACCTATTGGCAGTATCAAATTGTTTGCATAGAATTTCGATTATATTGTTATAAGTACACTATCCTTAAAATATTACACAATTAGGAATTTTTGCTTTCCAGTCATTCCAGTGGCAACACTTCTAGAAATTTAGTTTTTTGCAAATTTAGTGTATTAATTAATGTGAAATAAATAAAATAATATTTACCGATGGAATGTAATGTTGTCCTTTTCAAGATTTGATGTTTCAGATCTCTTCTTACAATTAAAAACACTGCAATTCACCATTTTTATCGCAGCACGTTACTCTTCAATAGTGACATTTGGAATATGTCATTGGTGGCGCTGCAACTAGTTTTTATAAACTGAGTGAACCACTGGTCTACTTACATTGCTAGAGGGGATTGCCTGTCAGTTCCACTCCTGTTATTTCTGCTCTCTGACACAGACTCTTGAAAATGATATTGAATCGAATTTTGATCTTTGTTTTTAATACGGGCTGACCTGACAAGATCAAATATAAAGTGGACAATTTATAAGTAAAACCACCACCTTATTTATAAGATACCTTTTCCCTATCAATGCAGCATAACAGACAAAAGTATCTATTGGACCACTATTACCTATAAAATTCACTGGTAAACTCAGTGAGACTGAGTTTGTTCCGTTGTTTCTTCTCAGCACTTGCCATGTGTTTGTCTCGAAGCGCTGGTAGGGCCCAAAAGATAAGGAGATATGTAAAGTGCCCCATAAGGGCTACCTTTTCTTTTTTTTATTATTTACTATATTTTGACGTTCATAAGTGACGTTCACATAGCTCGAAGAGCTGATGGCCGCTGGGGCGGGAAAGTTCTTGAGTGGCGACCACGAGCTGGAAGACGTAGCGTGGGCAGGCCTCCCACTAGGTGGACCGACGATCTGGTGAGGTCGCGGGAGGTAACTGGATGCAAGCGGCGCAGGACCGGTCTTTGTGGAAATCCTTGGGGGAGGCCTTTGTCCAGCAGTGGACGTCTTTCGGCTGAAACGACGACGACGAAGTGGCACTTGTGGTCTAAACTGAAAAAATATTTTTGATTTTTGACTCAGTTAAAACTATCTATTTACTCACCAAAACTAACATCCACCAACACAGGGTACATATCGTTGTGTTTGTCTGCGGGCACACCGCAGGACATTAGCAGAGTGCGCAAGAGTTCGGTGTGGTTCAACTGTATGGCCACTTTGAGGCCGCTGTCTGTTGCTGCTCTACTTGCTACCACTAGCAACTCCGCGTCGGACCAGAGGGACTCTAAAACAAGAATAACGCATTTCAACAATTTACAGGTCTAGCTAGGGTTGACAACTTTTTTTTTCAAAATACACTGGTCATCATAAAAATCGATCCTCTCGCGACAAGCACTTTCAAACGTATGCATCGCCCACTTCCCACCAATATTACTATACTATAATACCATTTAAAAGCAAAGTTCTAAACTTCATTTCATTAAAGGAAAGGTTTTTACCCCAAAAATGTGTCTGTAGAAGAATCCAGAGTCACTTCTTAAAAAAATAGGTAGTTACGCTTGAGCTAACTTTTATGTCTATAAAACTGTTGGGATTAATCGCTATCCATCTGTTAAAGAGGACACGTGAGATTATTATTTGGTTTTATAACCATAAAAATTGGTCTAATTGATCCCAGAGGAGAGAGCCCAAAGTGAGGTCTTTTTTCAAGTTTTTCAAGTCACATTTATTGTATTATGTTAATCGTTTATTAAGAAATTAAATGTGTTTTTCTTTAAGGATATTTATTGGGCTTTCAAATAACACCAATATTGTTGGGGCACTATGATTGTGTCAGTAGAAACGAGTTTTCCTGTAAAACGTAGGTGGGGCGATTTTTGTGATGACCAGTGTATAAACTAGGTATATCAAAGGTCGGAGAAGGAAAACAAACAGTATTTAAAAAAAAATAAACGGTTTAGTTCTATATCGCGTACCTAAATGTAGTGTTGGCATCTACTTTTAAAAATATCTATGGATACTTAGTGATGCTTGCTGAAAACAGTATTTGTATACTTTATTTTTGTTCAACAGTAAAAAGTATAATTTAGGGTAAAACAGTATAGTTGGCAACCCTAGGTTTAGTGCATAACTGAGTCAGTACCTGAGGTATGGAAGCGGCACGGGAAAGGTGACAAATGACGTCACAGAGCATCTGAAGAATCTGAAGTCTCACTGACGTTTTATGTCACAAAAATACTCCAGTACCATTCTCATACCTGCCTATACTAACTCATATAAATAACACGTCGAGACCCGTTTCTATATTTTAGTTGAAATTAAACGCGAAAGTTTAAACTAAAATAGTAACCCCGTTACTAATAAAAAGTTACACAAAATCAAAATCAAAAATATTTATTCAGTTTAGACCACAAGTGGCACTTATGAACGTCAATAGAAAATAATAAAAAAAGAAAAGGTAGCCCTTATGGGGCACTTTACATGTCTCCTTATCTTTTGGGCCCTACCAGCGCTTCGAGACAAACATATGGCAAGTGCTGAGAAGAAACGCCGGAACAGTTGTTGAACACTGTTTTAAAATGACATTTCCATACTTAACGTCACTTTAAAACACTGTTCAACGAGCGTGTAAGTTTTATTAGTAAGGGGGTAAGACACGTGTCTTAACGCGACGTTTATTAATGAGTTACATCATGTACTCACTATTTTACTATTTTAGTTGAAATGGAACGCGAAAGTTTAAAATCTTATATTACAAACCGAAAGTATACAATGATTTAAAAATGTGTCGAGAACTATGTAAGACATCCAAAATTAATATGTTATTTACTTTCATTCTAATAAATAAATTCATAATAGTAATAAACAAACCACATCTAGGAGTGACGATGTCGAACGCGCACTCCACAATTTCTCTGGGATGGAAGCCCGGCACGTGTTTTTCCCTGTACACTCTGTCAACTACGTATCGACGCATGTATTTCGTACCAGTGTATGCTACGTGCCTGAAATGTAAAAGTGAAATAGTTATGTAAATATTTAGATTATTAAATGGTATTTTCTCATCCCGAAATTATTGAAACATTTTCTTTGACGTAAAGCTGAAAAATGAAAATCAAATCAGTCTGTTCAATCGAATCTGAATGGTTTCACAATACTCCAACAGTCGAAGGGGGATCAAACTACCAACTCTTAAACCTGCAGTCTGGTGCCAATACAGGCTTTTATTTCATTGGATTTTTGTATTCCGAAAAGAGGTCCCCCAATGTCAAGGACACATTCATGTTTTTTTTTCATTTTCATATTTCATTAGCCTAGACATTATAAAATCATGTGACGTTACTCAGCACGTTAAAACAACACAAAACCTGCCACATTGTTCTGGACGTGACGTCCGGCTTTCAAATTCATAGGCAATATTACATTGTTTTAAACCTTATGTTATCACGCTAAAGTTCAAAATGCGGTGGCATTAATTCTGCTACAATCAGGTTATAGGCTTAAGTAATTAACAGTGTTACAAACCTCGCAAAAGGCAACCTCAAGTCATGAGGCAGGTGACAGACTGACCCAGATGCCGTCATGACCTTCACAGCGTTGGGATACTGGTCCCAGCCCTTAGCCCGAGGCATCAGTAGGGGCGGCGAGAACTCCGTAGCTCCGTGGGTTCGGAACACCTACGAAAATAAGAGATATCTTTGGATATTTTACATTGCGCCATCTAGTCTAATATTAAGCAAAGCTTGCACCATATGGGTACTGTAAGCGTCGAATAGTAGAAAAGTGACAAAAAGGTGGACAACACAACCTTATTCCAACTGTAAAAAAACGTTTTGCGAACTTTTTGTCTACTTTGAGTGTCACGATTATTTCCGTCGTTACCGACGAAATTATAGATCTCACATACATAGAGCCTTGTTGCACTATTACAGTCAGTCCTTCCCACTACCACACAATCAGTAGTAATGACATTTCAATATAATGATTCTTGACAAATCCGTGCAAAAGGATTTATCATGCAATCAAAGAATACGGGTGTAAGTGAAGAAGATTAATATTATTTTACACAGCGCCATATAGTCCTAAATTAACCAAAGTGTAGTGTTTAGTTTTACCTTTATGACCGTATCTTTCAAAGCGGCCAGTACTTCAGAAGGCTTGGTCTTCGTGTCTCCGTGGTAGGTGATGTCTTCCGCCGCCGATAACCGCTGCTCTAAGCACGCGCCTATTAACCGTTGGTAACCTCTACAAAATAGAAACAAAATTAAGTAATTGTTTTTTTTACTACCGTCATAGTTATGGACTATTATTTTCCGTCAAACTTGACAGCGGTCATGCATGGAAGCAAACAACATTGGTCGATCTTCTTTCTTTGTTGACAACATACTAATACGATCTCTGTCAAAAATATTGTGGTGAATCCACTCCTAGCTTGACCAGACCAAAAGGCAGCATCGTAGTCGAGGAGCTAACTAAACTTAATCTTATTCTTTTCTCATAATTATGGCCCTATGATCCTGTATAAAGTGGGGCAGTAGTCCCAATATGGCGCCCTCTGGGATGGATTTCGATATATGCTCATCATTATCGTCTCTACTGCAGCAGCACGACACTCTTAACCGCCTCTGTGGTCTAGTGGTAACACCACCTGCTTCAAACGCAGAGGTCCCGGGTTAGATTCCCAGTGGGGGCAGATCTTTCTGTTCGGTTTGGTTGGTAGGACTTGTTCTAAGTCCGCCTGGCTAGCTACCACCATCTTACCTAAGTCTGTCGCCATAACACCAATGTTAACAGCATTATTGTGTTCCGGCAGTTAGAGGTAAGATAGCCAGTTCCTCCGTGGTTGAGGATTCCGGGTGAAGCTCGCTTCCACCTTCAGCCTGATCGCCCCTTACCATCAGGTGAGATACAGGCCAAGAGCTTCCTCGTTGTGATAAAAAAAACTCTAATTTACTAGAGGCACATGGAGGATTTGGCTACACTCCCCACGCTATGTTACAAATAAAACGGTACGTTCGCTAGACTTGCGTTACTTAGGCTGGATTGCACCATCTAACTTTAACTTTGACAAACGTCAAAAATCTGTCAAACTCCATACATAAAACACCGGTTATTGTTATGGTTACGGTCAAAGTTAGGTGGTGCAACTCAGCCTTAGTGGAGGAGCCATCTAAACAACCGTAGACTTATATCCATACCTGGACCCTCGATCCTGGAGAGTGTGGGACAGGAGTCCAGATAGAGCGCCCTCTGGGACCGGCCTTGGTACGTGCTCACTTGCTAATAACTCTGCACATGTAGGCCTGAGGCTAGCGTCGTGGTCGAGGAGCCATCTGAATATACAAATAAATATGCTAAAATTAAAACACTGGAGATGGCTTGATGCGGACAGAGCAAGAACATTTGTAGAAATTCTTAGGCATTTTTCCAGCAGTCAGTTTGTCTTACGTGAAACAAACATGGACATTGTATACATAATATAGCGCCATCTAGTTCAAAACTGTACAAAGCTCGTACTATGGGTACCAGACCAGGTATCCTTAAAAAGTAAAAAAAAAACACTTCTCAAGGAAATTATATCTGTCAATTATTGCAGAGACTGCACTGTCATCCGGCTAAGAGTCAGTTTCATGAGTCAAATATTGAGCGTTAACGATTTTCAAATATTATATCCAAAAGAAATACATTGTACAGACAATGACACCTCAAGGTAAACACTACAGCATCTTATTTGATTGTAATTCGATCTATATTACAACAAAATGTATTATAAACTAATGAGCTGTCGACTATACAAACATAAATCAAATCCAATACCTGATGACATGAATCTGCTTAGCGTTCTCTCTTCTCAGAAAAGACTCCGGCAGCCTAATATCTCTCGTCCGTACTTCAGTCAACACCATCATGCGTTCCATTCCCGTGGTTAGTGGGTGGAACATTTCGAACAGGATGATCCCGAGGGAGTATATGTCCACTTTCTGGTTGTATATTACTTTTCCGGAGCCTTGGAGGAGCTCGGGAGCTACGTAGAGAGCTGTGCCGATCTGGATAGGAATACAATAAATAATATATTAATTCCTGTGACGTCATAACCAGTCAAAAACACTTGACTGCAAAATCAGGCAAAAGTTGTGTTAACTAAGGCCCAGAACAGACGGTGAAACGCAACTGCAACGAAACTGCAACTGCTAGTTACTTTTGAGTTGCATCTAAGTTTCTGCCATAGAGACCACACATGACGCGACCAGTTTGAAACTTTCAGTTTCAGTTTCATTCATCAGAATCATCAGAAAGTTGCAGTTTCGTTGCAGTTGCGTTTCACCGTCTGTTCTGGGCCTAAGGGCATAGGTACAACCACTTGTCTGATTTCTGCAGTCAAAAGTGGTTTAGACTGATTATGATTTTTTTTACTGTAATAATTACATACATTTTGAGAGCAGGATAATTACCTGACCAGTCAATGATCCTCCAATTTCTTCCTGCTTTGCTTTTTCTGTAATCATAGACACAAAATAATAATGACGGAGTATGGACGGATACTTACATTTTAAGCCGGTGTGCATCGCGCGTTTAACTGTATTGTCACACTATTGGCCTTAGGGCAGATTTTTCAATCGTCAGTTATCTTTTAACTGAAGAATAACCTTATTGTCATTTTGACATATTTCCCATACTAAAACTGTCAATGTGCCAAACTTATTCTTCAGTTAAAAGTTATCCGACGATTGAAAAATCGGCCCTTAATAATTTAAAAAAATCAACATCACACGCTTGAGTAAACATGAGTTTGAAACGAACTTTAACTTTGATATCATCACACGAGCCTCTAAGACTTACCATCAACGGGGATCGCGGTGAAAGCTTTCGTTGCCAAGCCAAAGTCGCCTATCTTGACATGGTCGTTAGAGTCCAAGAAAATGTTCACCGGCTTCAAGTCTCTGTGTATCATGCCTCTTTGGTGCACGTGGGCTAGTCCTGTGGATATACATCAATAAATTGTTTCGTAAAATTAATGGACAAAAGTATGACAAAAGTACGTACAACTGCAACTGCCGCAACTACGTAAGGTGTCGTGGTTTGCTTTATACAAAAGTCTTTGTCTAAAAAGTCACATGGCATTAAAATAGGTGACTTTACCTTAAAGATTCACTCTGAATGAGACAGTCGCATTTTCGACAGTTCATAAAAAATATGTCAATGTTTGCTTCAAATACTCTATTCAATCGTGATTTCAGCCAATAAGGGTTTTCGCGATTCAAAAATCCGCCAGATGGCGGGACGCGGACGTGGGTGGTGGGGTCCGACCGCTGCGTGATTGGTGGATTTTGACATATCTGTCAATGTCATGTCAAAAATAACCAATCACGCAGCATCTGGACCCCGCGTCCACGTATCGCCATCTGGCGGATCCTTCAATCGCGAAAACCCTCATTGAGTTTTATTCATGTAAGCATTAATTATATTCTGGTGTTTTAACAGACTTCAAAAACGGAGGTTATCAATCCACAACGTTATACCAAAATATTATTTTGCACATACCTTCAACAATCTCCCTAAACAGCCTCCACGCCCTGAAATGCTCCTGGCTTAAACCATTGTCTATGGCTTGCCTCAGCGTGTGTTTCTCGCAGAACTCCATCTGTATGTATAGCACTTGGTGTAGACGCACTGATTGTGGGCGGGGCGTTTCTGGAACGTTCTCTGAAGGCACCGTGATTGATTGGTTCTGGGAGTCCGTTTCGAACTCTATGCCGCTGCTTGACTCGTTTTCGGGGCTTGAAAAAAACATTGTATTGTTAGTGAAAATATGAACAGACGACAGCACATCGGACTATATTTTTTGTAGCAAATTCGCTCTTATTTGCATCTTCACAACACCGTCAAAATGTTTTCTATAGTCCGGTCGCCGAGCGCGTAGAATTTCGTCCAATGACCCCAAGCTACACATCCTTATCGCTCGCGTGTAATTATATTGCTGTCGCGACTGTGCGACGGGCGGCCGCAGTGAGTGTGCGAGCGCGACAGCAACATAATTACGCGCGAACGATAAGGATGGGCTATGGGCAGCTTGGGGTCATTTGACGAAATTCTACATGCTCGGCGACCGGACTTTAGAAAATGTAGCAATACTCTTTCTCCCAACTTCCAAAGGCCAATCTTCAAAATTCACTAGTATAATAGTTGATAAATAATTGTTTTAACACACTACGATTTTAACTTCAACATTCAACACTGTAAATTGATTTATCATTATCATAATTTCAGCCACAGGACGTCCACTGCTAAACATAGGCCTCCGCCAATGATTTCCACATCGCCCGGTCTATGGCCTTTCTGCATCCAGCGCCTTCCTGCTACCTTAATGAGGTCGTCGGTCCACCTTGTGGACGTCGCACGCTGCGTTTGATAGACAACTCTACTATAATTATAACAAGATGTTATTAACATCTTCAAAATAACATAATATGTACTCACTCAATAATATTATACCAAGGGTCCGGTTCATCATCATCATCCGAGTCTTCACTATCAGACGTGTGTCTCTTCTGGTTGGCTTTCTCTGACATCGTCCACTCCACCTTGATCTCTTGGCCAAGCTTGGCTACCACGTCTTGTAGACTGTCGCCTGGCTTCTTCCTTGGAACAGAAATAGGTTTATTTTGTATATAAACACACAAACAAAGTTTTAGATGGAAACATAATTTTGTATTCGATTGTCTCTTCAACAGGCTTTTTTATAAAGAAAAAATCTTCAAAGTTTTTTTTCTTTAACTACAATGCTAAATTGGCTAAGATACGGTAAGTATCCTGACGCCATATTTTTTACGTGTATAATTATTATGACAGCTAGCGCTCCAGGTGGTTAATAATTGAATTCAAAGAAAAAATCAGCGGCATTAATCTACAGGGCTCTGCTATTTGACGCCATCCTTACATGTCACAATGTCAAATGACAGTATAGTTAGACTACACTGAAGTGTCTCAGATATGACAGAAGGGCGCTACTATCAATACTGGGTTTATTAGTACAGATTTTTGCTACTGGACATATCAAAATCGTTGGGCTATTTTGACAACTGGCCAAAAGTAATAATGTCACGTACACACGGCCACACTGTTAACTATCCATTTCAACATCCGTTTTTGCTCTCGCTCTCATCAAATGGTGATTCTTTGCGATAGAACGAGATGATATGACTGGCAATGGGCAGTTAACAATGTTGCCGATAGTACGTCAAGTATGGCTTTAGAAGTCGCAACATGCAAGCAATTTTAAGCCTTATTCTTACCTCACTTCAGGCGACTTTACGCTAGCATCTTCCGTTTCAATAGTCTCTGTGGTGGTCTCAATCCACGCGTTGTAATACCGCACCACGTTTTCGTGGTTCAGACGCGATAGAAGTTTCACTTCGCGGGTGATTTTCCTGTTCAGCTGGACGCTTTCGGGGTTAAGCTTAACCCTTTTGATCGCGTAGAAACCGCCGTCTAGTTTGTTTTTCACCTGGAAATATTTTATAAAATAGTTTAAAAACAGATGAATGAAGTTGTTTTTTTTTTATTTTATTGTTAAGAAAACAAACAGCATTCTATAACACATATAGAGTTACCAATTATACTTCAAATTTGCCAAAATAGCTATAAATTTGCAAAATAGTTGTAATAGGTTCTTGATGAACAGACGAATGTATTAACGTTTAGTGCATTAAAATATAGGTTTGTGCTGTTAACGGTACAGTCGACAGAACATCAAGTTAAACACTGTAGCGTCTTATGTAGTTGTAATACGGGCAATTTTGCAACAAAAATGACAAAAATGTGTTGTCGTGTTAATTGATTCTGTGGAGTTCTAAAATCTTTTAAACATCAATTGTATATTGACCTTAATATAGTCTGAAATGCAAATTTGACAATTCTGCAACAATATTCAGTTGCCTCTAAAAAGCACTACATTTTGCATTGAATATGATTTTGGTTGTTTAACTACTATACCTTCAACACGTCTCCAAAAGCACCTTTCCCAAGCCAAGTGAGGACTTCGAACTCGGCAGTCAGCCGGGAATGGCCATTCATGGCAGGACTGACGTTGTGAATCTTTTTCACTGCTTCGTCGTCCTGTAAACAATAATGTTCATAATTTAAGCTAAATTTACTGATGATCCATGAGGCTCTCAAAATATAGGATGATATTAATATTCAACATTTAAATTACATAAAAATCGTCTCATTAAAATGACTGAGGCAATCTGTGAGTCGGACTCGAGCTTGAAGGGTTCCGTACGACGCTTTTGTTGTTGTATGGGGAGCCCCTTAAATATTTATTTTATTTTTAAAGTTATTATACAAAATATTCTGTGAATATTTCAAACGTGTAACTGTTGCCTTAATTATTACTATATTGAGGAATCAAGGGTCAAGCGAGAGAAAAAACAATAGAGCGCCGATATTGGTCGCCGAGAAAAAAGAATACATTTTCTTGGTGGCCAGTGTCGCGCGGCCAATGAGGCAGGCAAGTCGCAAGAAAGGAGGTTTTTTTTAATCCACAACGAGGAAGCTCTTGGCCTGTATCTCACTTGATGGTAAGTGACGATCAGGCCGAAGGTGGAAGGGAGCTTCACCCGGAATCCTCAACCACGGAGGAACTGGCTATCTTACCTCTAACTGCCGGAACAACAATGCTATTAACATTGTTGTTATGGCGACAGACTTAGGTAAGATGGTGGTAGCTAGCCAGGCGGACTTAGAACAATTGATTAGAAAGTTAATGTCATAAAAGACTACATACAGGCAACGTCAAATACTTCGTGACACCCAAAGTAGCCAATAAGTTCGCAACACGTCTTTGTTACCATTGAAATAAGGTTGTGTTATCAACTTTTTGGCCACTTTGGGTGTCACGAACTACACTCGACATTAAATAAATCGACCCACCCGCGACGCGAACTTTAAAGATTTTCTTCTGACACAATCATGGTGCCCCAACAATATTGGTGTTATATAAAAGCCCAATAAATATCCTTAAAGAAAAACACATTTCAATTCTTAATAAATTATTAACATATACCATAAATGTGACTTGAAAAAAGATCTCACTTTAGGCTCACCTCTGGGATCAATTAGACCAATTTTTATGGTTATAAAACCAAATAATGATCTCACGTGTCCTCTTTAACAGATGGATAGCGATTAATCCCAACATAACAGTTTTATAGCCATAAAAGTTGGTTAAGCATAAATACCTATTTTATAAGAAGTCTGGATTCTTCTACAGACACATTTTGGGGTAAACACCTTTCCTTTAATGAAATGAAGTTTAGAACTAGGCTTTTAAATGGTGCCAATATTGGTGGGAAGTGGGGATGCATACGTTTGAAAGTGCTTGTCGCGGGAGGGTTGATTTATTTTATTTCCAGTGTATTTGACGCTGACTGTACCTCAGAGCCACTCCCGTTCTCATCTTTCTTGTGGTTGATGATCTGCTTCGCCGGTGCGTCTACCAAAAAGCAGTGGTTCAGCATCTGCTCCGCTGACCATTGCGTATGCTCGTCTTCTGTGAAGCATCTGTAATACAGGAGTTGATAGATAAAAACTAACACACATAATATTGAAACGAACACTTAACAATATAAGATTTTAAACTTTCGCGATCCATTTCAACTAAATTAAAGCCAAGCCGTGAGTAGGTACATTATGTAACTCATATAAAAAACCGGCCAAGTGCGTGTCGGACTCACGCACAAAGGGTTCCGTACCATTGATTTATGAAATTAAAATTATTATTTTTTAATTTAAGTTATTTGTATGAAAGATTACGCGGTAATGAACGATTTACGAGGTATTAAAAAATACTTACTAGATCTCGTTCAAAACAATTTTCGTTGGTAGTTTTTATAGTAATGTGGGTACATCATATTTTTTTTTAGATTTTTCATTTTCTTATTGTAGAAGCTAGGGGGGGGGGGGGGG